TGGAATCAGGATGCAGACGTTCCCGAAAACAATAAGCAACTGGACATAGATTAAGACAAAACAAAGTAAGGTTTTAATCCATATGATAATATGATAAACAGTATTGGACAGAAAGCTGGAAGGTCAAAATGTGGCGCACCACACAATTTGGACACCCTGCGTCCCGTGACTTGCTTGTGGAAAGGGAGTTGAGATCGAGGCACTAAACTTTAAACATCAAACTACTTAGCGCGCAAAAACGTATAACAGTAAAGTACTCACAAATGCCTTACAGGCGAGAAAGACTTTAATTTGTTCTACCAATTGAACATATTTTCCAGCTCTCTTCAGCTACCTGTCCAACATGAGAATAATATTGGATAAGAAGCACCATGTACACGGCATGTACAAGACCTATAGACAAAACAAATTCACCATAAAGTGGTCGTACTCTAATTATATTTTTGTTTGATTCGTAATAACTGTATTTCCCTCATGGACTAACTAAAAGTACGTTACTCTAATGTTATCTCAAGAGGCGTTAGGGAAAAGTGTAAGGCCGTTAACGATTTTTGTCTTACTGTACATGCCCACGATCTTTTCTCTGAACGATCCTTTTAGTCCAATATAGTTCGTTTGATTATAATTTTCAGAAGCAGTGTGTCAATAAGATAACAGCAACACTGAGAAATGGAATCTCATGCATATAATAATCCTCAATGAGTACTATCAGTATTCTGGTTCCAAACTTTCGAAAATTTGCTAGTGAGCAAAACTTTTATTAAGTCTAGAAATCTTGTAATAAGCTCACGACATCAAGCAGCAAGTTAAATCAATGGATGGGATACTTTAGTGTTTCTTTCATAAATCAGACAGCTTAAGGCTTGCTTTTGACCATGTGACAGTAGTAGCTTTTGAACATCAGAATAATGGGTTTGAACGTGTTTATTACTTTTTAGAACAATTCTTGTCAAGTTAAGGAATTCGTAAATAATGAATTAATCCGGATATTCATTTATATAAATTAGGAAATATTCAATTGCAATATTCAAGCTAGATTGATGTATTCAGAAAAAAGTTGAACACATGAGCTTTATTATCGGGTAAAAATTGTCCGAACGAACATATGCTTAAACTTCCCAAAGCATAAATAAGCAGTCTGGTTTTACTCAAGAGTGTCTCAGAGTGTCTATAAATCTTGGACAACAGGAAATAAAATAATATTATGTTTCTACAATATCAAGGTCCCTGTATGGACAGAGTCTATCTTCATATTTCAGTTTCTCAATTCATCTTGGATTAATCTTAATATCATGTAACCTCTCTTTCAATTTACAGTATATATTCCTAAATATAGGCAAATGATCTTCAACATATAACTCGGTTTTTAATATCCTGTGTGTTCACAGCTTGCCAATGCTATTCACTCCCGCATGCCAGTATGGTGCATATATCTCTTTACATTTATCATTTAATACATTTATCAGTCTCCTTGTTCAACTCTCCTTGGTTATGCCATACCTCTCAAAAATAACTCAGTAAATATTTCTTAATATTACGAGTTTCTACTTGTACCCACAAATCAAGAGAATTGCATTTTATGAAAATGTGGGCCATTAATTTTCTTATATTTCAATTCTTTTCAGCCAGTACTTGATAATTCTGGCAATATCGACATTTTTAAGAGAGTTATTATCTAATTCTCCAAGCGCAAAACATTTATAATTATAAAATAATTAAAAATTTAATATGCGATTTTTCTAAATCTTGAGCTTCACTAAAGAACCATACTTCAGAGGCATACGTCAAAATGGGCAAACCTTTTAATAACATATTTACTGACAATTTTCAAAATTTGATCAGTGAATTTTCCAGACCACTCATTGCATTCGACGCTTGTTCTGCTATTGGTTCTTATTTTCCCTTCAATGAGAAAAAACTATTAAATACTTATCACGAGAACTGTCCTTAAGTTTATTGTCCCCAAAATACAATTTTCCATAAATTCTTAGAAAACTATCATTTAGGAAAACCTCTATCTCGGTATTATCACAATTTATCTTAAATTTCCTGTAGTCACAGTTCGAAATACATCTAACTAATAAACATCGCATTTCAATTGCTGAATAATGCAAGATAATCTGTATAAGATAGAAAATAAATCTTGAAAACATTTTCTATGTCAATACCACATTGACCATGAGAAATTGTACTTTACAGGTCATTTAGAAATTGTGAGAAAATCAGTTGTGATAATATGCAGTCCCGTATAAGACCTATTAGACACTGAAATATATGACTTAATCCACTCGACTTTCTTACACAAGTTCCTATGTGCAACATTTTCAGCATTCTTGTACTCAAGTTACACACATTCAACTTATACCATAGAACTTTCGTACCAATTCTATCAAAAACATTCTCAAATAAAGTCTGCCTTTTGCTTCCCAGATCTTTTCAAATAAGTGTTTTCAGAACATATATGTTATCTACAGTATTTAACCTCTTCTAAATCTCATTTGTTCTTAGCCTAGTATATGGTTTTCTTTTACCCACTGAGTCAGCCTGTCTTTGAGACTTATTCTTCTGTAATTATTATAATTCAAGGAAACCCAATCAGAAAGGCTATGGTCATTTAGAACATTGGAAAGTATGAGACATGAAACATTGCTTAAAACAGATATATGATTAGTGGTGTATTTTTCATAGGGCTTTCAAATTTTCACAAGTATACCATCACGTCCTGAAGTTCTTCCTGATTTCTTGTAATTTATTGCTTTCCTTATATTTTGTAATACGTGCATCAAGGTCGTACATGTTATATTACTCAAGGAGTACAATGTTTTAAAGGAATCAGGGTTAGGAGGATTAAATACATTCTCAAAATGCTCAAAAGTCCATTTTTGCTGGGAACTTTAGTGTTTGCCGTGCAATTATCTCAATCTAAATAAATTCCAAAATGATAAATAATCTTTCTTATTAATACGGAAACTATTTTTTAATGTAGGCTCATCTTAACCTCTTTTCTGCAGTTAGCATATTGTAACTCTTTAAGATAGTGTAAGTTTCCATGGTTTGCGCAGATCAAAGCTTCTTGTGGTTTTTACTGCCTTGCTTGTAGCATTTCCACATTCCTAATCAAACCACTCCTGTTTTTTTCAACCGATACAGACCCATGCAAAGCGGAATTTCGACCGGTCTTTTTGTATCAGACTTATCAACAACTGAAATAACTATTTGTACTAAAGAGTCTACTGCTTTATAAAGGCTCTCATGTCAATCACGTCAAAATACTGATCATTAGGGAAAAATGAAAAGAGATGATGAAAACATTAGCAAGACTGGGTTTCATGTTCCCTCAACAACAAAAATTTGTGTACTTTTGACTTCCCATCCTCCTCCTTACTTTCTCCCCCTGGGATACTCTTATCATCAAGAAAATTATTTGATTGAAAACTCTCTATTACATCAATTCTTTGATTACATCAAACAATTCACTGTCTGCCATCTGAACAAATAGATTAATATATATATATATATATATATATATATATATATATATATATATATATATATATATATATATATATATATATGATCCAATGTGTTTGTCCACTCACAAACTTTACTTAACTAAGTCTAATAGCTTCCTATATGCTGTAAATGGCGTTAAAAATACATTTGTACGGCGCGGAGGACTTCTCTCCTTATTATATGCTGAAAAGCCACAACAACAACAGCAACAACAACATAATATGATGTGCACATATTGCTTGCCCGTAGTGTCACTTGTTGACATTTGCTGTAGCAGCCAATTTGTATTAAAAAAGCTTTTGTGATAGTACTGTTGAGCAAGGTTTACTTTGATTCACTTATGCTGGAAACAGTGAATTATGGAAAATCACTTGTCCTGTAGAATGTATCAGCAGTCAATGACTTTACGTATTGGAAACAAGTAAACGTGTAAAAAAAAGTTGATAATATGAACTATGTATTTTGTAATAATCAAGTGCTTTATTCTACCTGCTTACCTTGTAAACGTACAAGAATAGTTGTATTCATTTTTGTTACAGTTATGAGATATTCTAAAATAGATTATTAATCAAGATCAGAAGATCTGGTTTTAATATTTCAACTCAATTGTATCATTAGTTTCATATATTTTTTATGGACTGTATAAGCATGACTACTATTTGTGAAATCCGAATGCTGTAAAATGTATTCAGTAAATAAATCTATATCAATTTTGTGTCCGTTACCAGTGTAAATTTCTTATCATAGAAGGGCTTATTCTAAGTCGTGAGAACTTTAGTCCAACCCCACAAACAATTAAAACATCGAAAGCAGGTATTTTATAATAACGTTTAAACAGGTAAAGTACAATCACCACAGCCATGACTTTGTGGACCAGTTCTTATAAGATTTAGTAATGTAGTTGCATACTACGTACATTCTGCAGAATAGTGTCAGCTAGCATCTGTGAAGGATTCGTGGTACCAATTAATTTCCCAGAGTGAAACTATGGAAACATCATGATATTAAAAATTCAGTAACTTTTAATTTCTAAATGCTCATCATTTACACCTCGTAATAGACCATTCTGTGAAGCAAGCTTCTTGTATGATGAAAAATCCAACGACTCTGGAGTAAATTTCAGGTCTAAAAGTGTTTCATTTCCCAATGAACTATTTTCTGAGGATTGACAAAGATTTGGTTTATTATCCGCATATGTTTAATTATCTAACCCACCAAACATGCTTAAAATCCATTGAAGCTTCAGAGTTTCAAAAGTATAGTATTCTGAAATATAGTCTTGTAAGGAGCAAGTTTAAATAGACTTATAATTTGTCTATTAACAGAACAACATTACTGAGAAATCCAATTTGTTTAGTAAATCTGAGATTTGCAAAATGAAGATACACGTATCACAGAGAACTACAGCTATATTGTTTGTAACCCTAATTAAAAGCGTGGTTTTTGCATTCTTTATGTACATTGTTATCACATTTGCTGGGAATACCGCACTGGTGGCTTAAGTGGTTAGAACGTCCGCCTCGGATGCAGGAGATCACGGGTTAGAATCCCCGTCGAGTCATACTAAAGACAAATAAAAATTGTACTAACAACTGCCTAGCTATGCGCTCAGCATTAAGAGGTTAGTGTTTGGACTGATCGACGGGGTATCATGATAATGTTGCTGGGTGGGACATGATGATACATGTTTGCGGTATGATCATCACTATAAACTGTCACAATGTCGACATCGTACCGATATGACCGAAAACTTGTTAAAGCTGTGTTAAAAATCCAAATCACACACTCACACACATCAAAGTCATTATGGGACAATGGGACAAATATATTTATATATTTTAAATCCTTGCGACTATTCAACTAGATAATACAGAGAAGAAAACATCTCAATACTGTACTATTGTTTAGAAGTTTCTTTAAAAAAAGTATTTATATCAAATATCTAGTAAGTACTTTAGAAAGAGACAGGGTATTTGATATTCTAGTGCTGTTCTTAAAATATCACTTTAAGTTCAATTCATCAATAATTTATTTTATTAATAGAAAACATAAAAAATAGATATTTGAATGTGCTGTAAATGCATGAATTTTCTGTATAAATTTGAATGAATTTAATTACTGTTAGTCTGTAAGATTTGCTCTGAAATTTATTTGAAAACACGGCGCATGTTCAGTAAACAGGGCGTAAAAGGGGACATTTACTGTCCCAAAACGTATGTTCCATTTTGAGAAGTAAAACAAAAATCACTTGCTTGTGGCTGCAGATTAAACCCATTCGTATATCCCATAAAACATTTTAAAAAATTCATAGTGAACGAGTAAATCAATATTTTAAAAACGGACAGATCTATGATTTATTTTACTAAAATTTAAGTTTTTCGTCATCAGCCAAATGTTGGGCAGCTTAATAGATATATGTTCTGACTTATCTTCACACATTTCTGGACTGGTTCCTATTTTCAATATAATTAGTACCGTAGGTCCAGAAAAGCGCTCTTTGATTATAACTGCCCAGCGGGCTGAGTTGTACACAACAAAGAGTAATTGCTTTGTTTGTGACAATGGAGCTGGAATTTGTACATATAATTGCTAAAAACCTTTTAGAGTGCTAGTGGCAGAGAAAAGGTTTTCTAATTACTTCCATTGAAAGTCCTCACGTTGAATGTTATTACTTATTTGTGATTACCCTGTAATTTTAAATAAACTTCATTTAATGTATTTTGTGCAAAACGTACGATATACTAGCAATAAAAAGGTATTGATGTTATTTTCAAGTATGCACGTTCTCAATCATATGGTTGCCGTCTAGTCGATAGTTTCGCTTGCATGACAAATGTAGTGGCATGTTACTCCCAGGGTAAGTATGCATGCCAGTTCGATAGCCTTATTGGTGTGAATAAAAAATGAACAGTCTAGGTTTGGCATTTGCTATACGAACTGTAACTGCCATAAGAAATTCTACACTGGCAATAGAAACCATAGCATCGGCATGTCAATTTGTCACATAGAACAATGAACTGAGTTTTGTATATGGATTTTGTGTACCTTTGCATCAAAATGGCTAAAATGTCTTTTGAAATTAACTTTAATCAATAATTGATACGTAAACATTCTTTATCATAATATTATTAGCATCAGTTGTTTTTCTTATAGAATATTTCAGTATTTGTTTAGTAAAATTTGCTACTGCAACACATGTTCCATATATTCAAATCGTCTTTGATGGCATTGCGTTCGGCTGATAAAGTAACGGTTTATTATGCTAAATAAGTGACATTTATGTACAAGGAAATGTATTTGGACTGAAGTTCGAATTGAATCCCATCGTAAACCGCAAAACCAAAGAGTATCGTAGTATCATTTTGGGGGTGGGGATTGTAAGACGCAAACCAACGCATATCATTGAATGTTCAGTAATTTCAAGAATATAAAGTACATGAAATTCAAGGTTTTGGCAAATAACGGACATTCTGGTAAGCACCAACGATCATTTCCAATCAAAAACCATGCAACAAAGAAAGCAATTATATCTAGTGCTAAAATCTCCAAGAAAATAACGTAAAACGGTGCAAATTAGGATGCAACAAAATTATGCGGGGATGGTTTCCTGCATAGACTATCACTTTTAGGTGAAGCTTAGGACGGTCTCAGAATTTGTGTATTTGTGTCTAAAATCATCTGAGGACAATCTGAAAATAACAATGACGATATATAATAAACACTATGCCAGTCTGAAATATAACCCTGAATCATCAGGGTTGAAACAAATTACCCTCCATCAACCCATTTAGTGTACGATTTGTGCAATATGGACACAGGCATTGGGGTTCTTAATTGGGGATGGAGGTGTCATAGGACAATATTGTAAGTAAATATATTTTTATAATGATATGGAGTGTAATAGACTAAGTTATGATCAAAGAGGCGTCTTTTCATATTTGAATTATACGTACATAACTTTAATCAATTTTCTGCGTATGTCCCATAGTGTATCTGTTTTAAGTGTAGAACACGAGACATACGAGGGCTGTATTAAAAAACATGTGTAAATACGTAGAAGATAAGAGAGGAGGCGAGTGTAAGAAATGTCTTCCTTCTTATTTGTGCTAAAAATACAAAGTATTTATCATTTTAAATATAAATGCTTTTGATGATTAAGGTGCAAAAAGTATGGTTGTTGAATTATTATTATTCGTCATGCGGTAAAACCTTAATGCAAGCGAATTGCAAAAATTAAAATTAGAATGGTTGGATTTAGTAAATTTAAATGTGAAAATATTCACGATATCAAAGTGAGCTTTTATATAGAAAAAAATGAATATCCAGATGCTTTGAATAAAGAAAGTGCTGTGAACTCAAACGATAATAAAATATAATTATACGATATAAGAAAAATAAAATAAATTAGAAATATAAAATGATAATTTTGACTTTCGAAAAGATGAGATCAAGGAGGGTTTAAAAATTAAAATTAGAAAACTTGTGGAAAATATTTGGCGGATATCTTTATTTTTAGAGTAGATATACAGAAGTATTTCACTAATGAAGTGGAAACATTCTATGACGAATGACGATACAGAATGTTTCCACTAAATAAATTAAATATTAATGACAATAAAATGCTTCACTTATGAATTAATTCAGGATATCTACTCGAAACGTTGCTTCTCTTTTGAATATATATATATATATATATATATATATATATATATATATATATATATATATATATATATATATATATATATATATATATATATATATATATTCAAAGGCAAATTTCGTTGATTTGTGTGGATTCTCTCCATTCTTACAATTTAAAACAGACCTCGTATATGTTAGGCAAAAGAAGGTTTAATTCCTATTTTGTGGTTTATGTGTTATGGGTGTAAGTTGGGCTACATTGTATACTACCTGGTTTTACTCACATCTGCCTTCAAATGTACTACTATAACAAAATCTGCAAGTTCTGTTTGGTGTAAACAAATTTGCTAGCTCTCGTTAGTATAATAACTCTGCTAGCTCTTCTTGGTCATTTTCACTTCTGACTTCAAATGTAAATTGTGAAAAGGAAACCCAACAACAACAAAAACGGAATCCCATAACTTTTTTATCCTTATATATACTACTCTGGCAAAAGTCATGCTCCTTCTTTTAATAGCTGCTAAACGTAGTGTTCTTTGGATTAATTCAGGCCAATTTTTCGAGTACATTGGAGAAGCCATTTTGTTCAGCTGTATACTTAGATCATGTACAGTTTCCACATGTAGAATATGTAAGAAATTTTAGCCACAATATATGAGAGAAAAATATTGATGTACCAACATTCTCTCTATTGTGCATGGTGCAGTTGCAAAAAATAACTTCAACTTACACCTGTAAGTCTCTCAGAAGTACTTACTATCTGAAAGCACCGCCCACCACATTACCTAACACATGTCACGCGCAGCTTTATATTGTTTAGGTGGGGTAATATAGAAACATCACCGAGCCGGTTTATCTGACAAACTTCAGTACGTAACATCGTCAAACAAATTTTGTAAAATGACTAAATTTAACATGAATTTTGAATGGCCTTGGCAAGTTTGCAGTCTAGTTCGGTAGAAGGCGCTGTATCCAATTTTAGACTGTCACTTAATTTTGGTAAAAAAGCAACACTAATCAACACAAGATTTATCCATTGTTTTCAAACACGATTGTGCTGCGAGTTTAAATTAGCACTTAAAAATATTTATTACTCAATTTAATCAATAGTTGATTTTATTTCCTTATATATGTGTACCGTTCGTTGTAGAGTATTACAGATGCACAATAACGTATTGTGTGACACATATCAACTTGTAGTTTATTATTTGATGTTTCATGTTTATGTTTAGGCATATATTGCTGGTACTTAACTAACTGCGTACTTACACACTCGAGGGTCTACAGGTAAAAAGTTTAAGATCTGTTCATATCGATGTGGAGAGAAGGAGGGAGAGAGAATGAGCAGAGGAAAAAATGAAATAAGCCTAAATATGATAAGACAGATTTGAATAATACACATTCGGATAGATATTGTTCCTAAACGAAAAAGAAAGTAGCTCCAAGAGTGATATCGCTACTGTGGCGATAAAACTGGTATCTTTATCGAGGCATGATATCGCTACTGTGGCGATAAAACTGGTATCTTTATCGAGGCATGACATCGCTACTGTGGCGATAAAACTGGTATCTTTATCGAGGCATGACATCGCTACTGTGGCGATAAAACTGGTATCTTTATCGAAGCAATATAATTTTCATCCACTGATATATGCCAATATTTTTTATGAAATATAATAATAAAATGCGTAACTGGCTATTTATAAAAGCATTTATTTGATATTTCAGGTGATAGATTCGTTCATCTTTTCAATAAACCATTTTCTTCCGGTCATTTCCCAAAGCATGATTTGAGGTGACCATCATACTAATTTTAAAGAATGAAATCTAAGTAATGTAGAAGATTATTGAGTGGCTTTTTATGTAAACATTTTGAGAGTATATTGATAAACTGTTTGACAAAATGTGCTGATATAAATTATAAGCTTTTAGGCACACAAAGTTAACAATTAAGAAATATAATTCAACTGTTCATCTGTTCACTGTCCAATCAACTGCTGAATATATATATATATATATATATATATATATATATATATATATATATATATATATATATATATATATATATATATATATATATAATGCAAACAACACACACACACACACATATATATATATATATATATATATATATATATATATATATATATATATATATATATATATATATATATATATATATGTAACAGAATTAAACTGGAAGCATTTTCAAAATTTTTGTAATAATTAGTCTTGAGGAGGATGTATCGACGTTCTTGTTTTCTCTTTTCTCTAGTACACAGAAGTAGTGTTACAGGACAATATGAATGATTCAATGTTATTGGAAAAAAATCTCTTGTCTTCTTCACAGATGATATGGCTTACTGCCAAAACCTTGCGAATAAGTTACAAAACATTCTACACAATATCGTTTGACAGTGAATAATATATATTGTCTTTAAAGGCATTAACTAAATTGTTCGATGTTTTTGTAATCTTTTCTGTCGAATAAATCCAAACAAGACTTATAGACTGTTTTAAACAACGATGGCTGGTAGCTATTATGTCTAGTGACCATTTAATATTGTACAAAGAGCTAAAAAGAATCAATTTGTGAATTAGTGTTTGTGTGTGTTTGTGTGTGTGTGTGTAATTTAGATTTATAACGTAGCTTTAAAAACTTTTCGTTCGTTCTTGTTGTGCTTAACGCCATTTTTCAGCACACGATAGGCTATTCATGGCGGCCAGTATTAAGAAACCGGGAAATCACCGGAAAGAACCACCTACCCACGAGAAGCTACTGGCAAGCTTTCTCACATATCCACATTTGCCGAATCCTAGACTGGAACCCGCGCAGACAGAGGTGATATGGCAGTGATCTTTTAACGGACAGCGCTTTAGACCACTCGGCCACTCGGCTCCCCCCCCAAAAAAAATTTTTTTTTTAGTCATATCGCTACGATGACTGCAATGTGACAGTTTATAGTGATGTTTTGCACTGGGGCATCATGCCGCAAACATGTCGCATGCTATCCCACCCAGTCACATTATCCTGACACCAGACCAACCAGTCCTAACACTAGCCTCTTCAAGCTGAACGCCAAGCGAGGCAGCTGTTAGTACCATTTTTATAGTCTTTGGCATTACTCGGCCGGGGTTCGAACGCGCGACCTCCCGCATTTGAGGCGGATGCTCTAACCACTTTGCGCCCTTGAGCTGTTATGAATTATTGAAATACAGCCAGAAATGAAATAATAAATCCTATTTTGATAAATTAATAATGTATAATTTACGTGCATATTAGTTCAAGTTTAAACAGGTAATGATCTTACAATACAAAAATATGAGCGGTAAAGGTATTACAGTCTTGCAAATTTATATATTTCAGAAACTGAAGATTAACGTTATTTATTGTCTGTATTATGTTTTGAGAAGGGAATGCTCGTAAGGTAAAATCAACCATTTTTAAAATTGTTTGAATTTTCAAGTGTTCTGAAAAGTATTCTTTAAATTCAGGTAGCTAATTTATTGAAATCATTTAAACTGAGATGTAATGATGTGTCTATCCTCTAACTGAGGAAATATAGTACGTAAAAGTGAAGCGTTATAAACTATTAAAATAAAACAACTGTCATTTTAATGTGCAGGTGCAATCTGTTGAGCGCAAAAGGCATGGATACGAGTTTAAATGTGCAATTTGATTTCACATTTTACGCGCAAGAGGTCACGGCATTGAGATAGTATTGGGGTATTGCATTGTAAATATCTTGGTGCAAGCAGACTAAGCAGGATGCAACGAGCATTACATTTTCCAGATGCATTGGGACTTGCGTGCCGTGCACTAGGCAAACAGCAGAATATTGTGTAATTGGGGCTGCCGTAATTGTTATATTTCACGCAACGCAATCCCATGACTGGGAGTCATATTACACGAATACCTGTAACCCAATGGCCATCAAACTTTCCATATTGAAAGCATGGTTATGGCCGATACTGAATAGTGACGACAATTCCCAAATATTCCTGAAATGCATATTATGGTATGACTTATTTACTTGTTTACATTTAATTCTTCTACGCTCTTCTTCCACGCTTGAAGTTCTATACATATTAATCCGCCAAAGTTTAAATCTTCCGGTATTATCAGTCCTTAATTCGTAATACCCGTCGAAAGATAATGTCATTCTTTAATAGTTTTGAAAGTTATGAACTCTCATATACACACGTTGATGGCAATGAAAACAATTTATTAAAAGGGCACTTAAAGGTTGTGATTTTAACGAGGTTGCTAGTTCCTTTATTTTCAGAGAAACGAAGCACCCATAAGTACGTTTTAATTTATTGCGTTAAATCAATCTTTCATCATTGTTGATGCGTTCTAGACAAGGGATTGGGTACTTCTCGGAACAAAGCTGATTATACCGAGGTGTGTTTATTTTTCCCTACACTTTCAATGTTTTCAACCATTACATTAGGCAGCATTCAATCGAAACAAACTCAGCGAATGATAAATCCATGAGCGTAAAAGGTGGCGCAGGACGGACACAAAATAAAATGACCGGTCATATAGCTGCAAGTTACATTTCGTAAAGTTTTTATTTTCAGTTTACTTCCACATTTAGAAGAAATTTTTGTTATTAATATTTAGAAGAAATTGTTGTTTCTTAGTGCGTACGTAATGGAACCGCTTGTGTATTTAGGTCAGAAGCAAGCGGAGTGATCAAGCGTGTAACAATCGCTCAAGCTAAATATAGAAACCGAACTCTTTCGAAGTTTCATCAATAAAAAGTTTCAAACTAAATTTGGTTATTAACCAACTACTATCGGAGACGTGTTCGGGTTAAACTGTTTAGCGGTACATTGTGGTACTTAGTTTAGTTTTAATTTTTAGTCTCTAGTAATGTATATTGTTTTACATCCCAATATATATGAACACATATTTATTAGCTGTGCACTGTATCTCGGTATAACTATTTAATGTCATATGATTTTAGGTGGTATGTACCAAGGTAACTTTTCACTTTACCTGTACTTCAATTATTTCCCTCTGTGCGGAATGTACGAAAATTCCCTGATTAGATTTGTTATAAATTTAGTGACATTAACAGAATGTGTTTGTTTTTAAGACAAAATAATTCAAGCTTAAGAAAAAAAAAAACTTTTATATTACAAAACAGCTGATTTAATGATAAATTAATGCTTAAGATTACAAACATAATTATATCTATGATCCTGTAATCTCATTTTGTCACGTGTATCGTATGTCAACATTTCTTTTGAAGATCAGTACTGACATTAGTAGGAACAATAAATTGTCTCTGAGTTACGAAGAGCTACAGAGCCCCAGAGAAGACGCAATGTAAATAATATTATTTCGTTCCATCAAATTAATATTTCGTTCTCTCTCTCTCTCTCTCTCTCTCTCTCTCTCTCTCTCTCTCTCTCTCTCTCTCTCTCTCTCTCTCTCTCTCTCTCTCTCTCTCTCTCTGTGTTACCTAGTTCTTTTTGTGATATATATATATATATATATATATATATATATATATATATATATATATATATATATATATATAGATAAAATAAATATAGAGAGAGTATATATATATATATATATATATATATATATATATACAGAGAGTGTATATATATATATATATATATATATATATATATATATATATATATATATATATATATATATATATATATATCTTGCACGCTGAATCAATAATATACCACAAATGTATACATTTTTCATTAAAAGGAAAAGAGACTTGCCGAGTTTCCTGTTAACAAAAATTATACAACGAGTGTTATATTATTGATAAAGCTACATACTATGCATATATTTTATTTATATCACATACAAATACATATATTTGCCATTTGAGAGTAGTTTAGATTTGCTACAGGCAGCTGGGTATTGACCTAGTGAATGAGCTCCTTTCGTCCTCGAGTGTATCTGCCACAAAATGTTGTGCTATGCATTTTGTGGCTATTTACAATCACCTTTGCATATTGTTAAGTTCATTGTTCTCTTTTTTGGCTTCTATTTTTCTTCAAATTAATTAAATCAATATAATACCCACGTTATATTTAAACATGAAAGATGGTTTTAAAAATAAATGAAAAGCACTAGAAACACTTGATTAGCTTCGTCATTCAGTTGAACGCTAAGCCATTAATCTACTGCCTCGTGGAGATTAATGAAGATTAGAAACTAAGCGAAATGACGAACCAACAAGAGGTAATTAAAATATTTTATATATTGATCTAGGTCATTATTGTGCTTTAGCAAAAGTACAACCGACCATAAATTTTGCCCGTATGTCTGTCTCTCTGGTCAATACCACATTAAAACACACTCTCTCTCTCTCTCTCTCTCTCTCTCTCTCTCTCTCTCTCTCTCTCTCTCTCTCTCTCTCTCTCTCTCTCTCTCTCTCTCTCTCTCTCTCTCTCTCTCTCTCTCTCTCTCTCTCTCATCCTTTAGTCGGTGAGAGAGAGAGAGAGAGAGAGAGAGAGAGAGAAGGGGGTTGGGTTGGACAATTTTATATTTAATTATTAATAATCGATTTCTAAAATATTATAGCATGTTTAAGAATAAACATAGAAACAAAACATTAAATTTATATATCAAAGCATGTGTATCACGTAGCCAAGCAATTTGCTTTATAATGTCGACATAGTTTCAACTTTGTATCATTGATAAACACACTGTAGATAAATCCCAAGGAAAATTCACGACGAACCATATTCTTTTAGGTTACTATGTATAATTTCTATTTCAAGGATTCAGTCCAGCCTAAATTCCTTTTCTCTATCACTCCACGTTTCTGCATAGTTTGTCCTTTATGCATGAGAGGAAAGGGGGGGGGCATAAATCAGAAAGGATGAAAATGAGTACCATATTAATTTCATTTAAAAAACGAGGATTATTATTATTTAATCGTTATTTTTATACGTCACTAATGATTAATGTGTGGAAATTAATAAATTATCAGAATTAACTGCAGATGGTCGCTAGAATGTGTATATATGCGTATTATTGTGCCACAATTTGATATAAACTCATATCAATAGGTTTAATAATTCTTTAAAAATGAAAGGTCATGTTAAAATTATTTCTGAATATATTATGGCTAATTATTTAAAGTACTTATTTATGTTATGCCTTTAATATTACGTACACCATAATGTCCTAATAAATTTTATTATATAATTTGAGTTCTGATAAACTATTGAACATTCCTTATAAATATTGTTCCTGTTTTAATTTATACATATGACCTACATCTTATTGGACGGATTCTCATTGCTGACCAGATTTTGATCAAACCTGGAATATCGAATTATACTATCAAGATCCCGCGTGACTTCTGTAATGAACGAGATATAAGTCAGGTCGTCCTTCTATTACCTCTAATTGGCTTATCTTGCTATCACTCTAGGGATAGTCTTATAAGTAAACGTGGCAGATAAACTTAAATCACAAAGACGTCTTACGACTAATCTTAAGAATCAGGTCTACACATATTAATGAAATTTGGTACAGTTAGAAATGCATTTGGGGAATAGCTTATATCCTTCAAAATAGACGTCCTGTCTCCAAATGAATGCAAGGGCAGTAATACATATTATTTGCCTACTGAGAATCACAATTATGGTTTACATAGCGCTATTCTCCTTGCAGAAGTTATGCAAACCACGTAAAATAAAACTGTAATGTTTGAATGCAAAATGCTTAAATTGTAATAGAACATCCAAATTTAAAAAAAAATATTACCCCTTGTGGATAAAAAAATGAATAACTTATAACTTATAGTTGACGAAACAGTATAAAATAAAAATGTGATGTGATGTGATATAAGGTGGTGAGTTGATGAGATGCGATTATGATTTATAACATAGCTTTAACCATTTTTTAGTCATATCGCAACGATGTCTAAAAAGGTGGCAGTTTATTGTGATGTCTAGCACTGGGGCATCATGCCGCAGATATGTAGCATGATGTCCCACCCAGTCATATTATCCTTATACCAGGCCTAACACTAACCACTTAATGCTGAGCGTCAAGCGAAGAAGCTGTTAGCACCATTTTTGTAAGTCTTTGGTATGACTCGAACCCACGATTTCCCGCATCCGAGGCGGATTCTCTAACCACTGGATCGGTTTAAAAAAAAAAAATAATAATTTTAGAAACTGTGCAATTAAAAGTTAGCA